CAAATAGTCCCAGGACTCCAGAGACACACTGCTGGATTATATGGAGCAACGAACTGCACCATCTGACTAGATCAGATCTGTGTAGGGTGCTGGGGAAGGAAAGTGCGAACAACGACATTAACACTCTGTGCAAGAAACATGGAAAGCCGACGCTGCACGAGAATGAGCCACAGACATCTCTCAGCCCTGGGGTTGACTCGTCCCAGCTCAAGATTGCAAAACCAGATTCGAGATCGATCGAAGATAGATTCCTTAGGTTGGAACAGAAGATACAAGAGCAGGATTCAATACTTGAGCGGATCATGAACGAGGACACTCTGTGCAAGAAACATGGAAAGCTGACGCCGCACGAGATTCAGCCACAGACATCTCCCAGCCCGGAGAGTGAATCTTCTACCAGTTCTCAACTATCAAAGGCCCTGGCCGGTAATGGGGTTGACTCGTCCCAGCTCAAGATTGCAAAATCAGATTCGAAATCGATCGAAGATAGATACATCACGTTACCGATAAGTCACTTTGATCAATTCTTAGAAACCTGAGGTCGGTCTATCCCATGACGCCAATCTAAATACAGCTCCGGCGTGAACCCATTCAGTCGAATCTAAGGGTTGGTCGTCCCGCTATACTGACTCAGTGCCTTACTTCATTAGCCGATCCGTATATTCTTAGTTACACAGTGATGGGGGATTATGAGTTATACTCCGGAGTGGCGGAGTAACACTCCGGTGACATTCCTTTTACTCCGGAGTTAAATTTTAGAATTAGCTAAGATTTTACAAATAAATTATGAAGAAAAAGAATTTCTTACAGACAAAAAACGATAACTAGTTTTTTAACTTAATATCTTTTATTACTTCACTCCAGAGCGAGTCACTCCACTCTGGAGCGATCGCTCCTGTCGCTCCTCCCCCAACACTGCTTTGTCGCACACCAGCCGTTAGCATGCTGCGTGCGCCCTGTGAGGGGTGGTGGAGGAAGAGTCTGCAAGTCCATCAAGGTTCAAGACTTGGCAACGCTTTAGTATTTCTTTACTGTGATAAATTTAACCGAAGGGAGTGTTCCTGTGACGAAGACACTCCTTCCGGTTTGCCCTCTTTCCCAGCTTCCTAGGCACTGGTAGGGGCGGACTTGCCTAACATGTGGGTCGAAAAGGATTATCAAATCAAATTACTGGCCATCACAGGGCGGCGTTCGTCTCATTCCATGTCGCCTGCCTCGACCAACCAAGCACGACTTGGTAGCTGCAGGGGTCAAACGTATCGTCACAATGGACGTGTCCACGTGGACCGTCGGACGGCTTGACCTAATAGAAAGCGGGTTGAAATAAAAGAGGCACCGATCGAGACACCATTCGAGGTAGCCCCACGAATGGCCAATCTTTATTGGCCGTGCAATCGCCTCATCCTTGGGCACGTCAAGCCATTGAACCCCCCAGACGAGATCATGATGATACCCAGCCAGTTGGCTGGAATTCCAATTCGTTGTGCAGGGATATCCTGCATGGTGTGATTTGGCAGGACAAAGCTGCTCTTGGCGGCAATCCATGCGCCCATACATCGAAGCAATCTCATGCGGGATGACTTACTTTTGATCCCGCATACGGCGATCAGGGCTGGAACTCCATTTCGTTGATTAATCGCCCACTAGAATGGACACAAAAACTCCGTATAGGTGCAACCATTGGGTTGACCACTGCTTTGGCCCAGTAATTGGTGGAAGTCCTTTGATGCTTTCGCCATGACTACTATTCAACATCAACTTCCTACATCTTTTGTTTCGGTAGACTAAATACGTCTGCAACTATGTGGTATAAAACTATCCTCTCACAACGGCCTTACAAACCCCTCAACTTGGCGGAATGGTATCCGGATGCCTTGGGCTTTATGTCTATGACGGACTGTGCGAAACCTCTCGGAGATCTTGCTGCTCATACATCTGTTTCCCAAATTCGTGGTGATGCGGACCTCGAATGGTATGTCATGTACGTCACGCGGACTACTCGCGTACTGTTCGTGGAATGGTCTGTATTGTACATAGCCTATCATCCCTCTGTCGCAATCACATCATCGGCTACCCTATCTCTTCTCTGAACCAATTTCAACTTCTTTGAACGGGGGCAAGTCTTGAATAGTTTTGGCGTTACGCGAATCGGAATGGGGTAATTCTGGTCCTGTTGGCCTTGTTAGTACATTCTCCCAGATGATCAGCGCCTTCATCTTACTAGCATCTTCAGATCTGTCAGCCAAGAGACACCGTCCTCGGAGTCACATATGTAAATCCTTTGACCGCGCCTTTCTTGAAAAGCACGCCTTTCCGAAGAAAATTGCCTTTAGCGTTGCGGAACTTTTCATTGACCAATCTTTGGTCCATGCTTACGAGTCAGGTAGGGCTATTTTGCATAAAGTGTTAAGTTGCGTAGTATACCCCAGGTAAAGAGCTCATACGGAGTGACTTACGTTAATGTATGCTCAGTCACTAAGGCTTTACTGAGCCGTCACACCTTACTGCGCCGTCACACTTTACTGAGCCACTACACTATTCAGCGCTAATATCGTTACGATTGAAACTGAGCCGTGAGAGATTCTGTACTGGTGACTAGTCGCCAGCTGATCATGAAACCATATCGGCTTCCACCTGCTCTTTCCAGCGAAGAATTTCAGAAGTTCCCACGTTGAAAGGGCGCAGGCCCAACGCTGTGTGCCATTCACCTGTTAAACTGCAGTGATGAGGGCGCACAGGAAGCTCTCTGCGTGCCCACGTACTGTGGTAGGAGGCTCAGTGGGTTCTTGGCAGCGTCAATTCCGTAGCGGCTTAGTCGTTGGTAGCCAACCCAGCGGGGAGGAGATGGATAGCATGCTTTAATTTATAAGCGTCACCCCTCAGGCATGTTAAGAATAAATGAAATAGACACAATAGCATCTAGCATCAAATACACCTGTGCGAAGACACAAAAGTTCAGTAATAGTCCCATAATGTACACAAGTCAGATTAGTACCAGTCGTATGTCTTGGTCGAGCTCTGAAGCATGCAGTGAAAAGGCCCCGTAAGTCGTTCGGTATGTTCTGTTGATTCACACTTACAACCCACAGATCTAGCACCACGTGTGAACCATACAATAGAGCTTGGAACGAACCGGCAGAAATACTAAGCTATGATGGCAGAGCGTATCGAGTTCGATTCAAGCAGAGAATACTGCGTGGCAAGGAGCTTAGTCGCGTTTTACCCTTGATTCACCAGCTGCGTCTTAGAGATGGCTTCCCATGGAAGAAGCCAAGACATGTAGAGATACAGAATAACCTATTGTATCGGGTTCGCTTGAAAGACCGAAGGACGGACCCAGGCAATCTGCACACGCAGGGGTACTTGCTGCACGACTTCTGGAGCGCCAAGCACGTCGAGGATCAGTTCCGTTATCAGCAAGGCATACTACGCTCCAACACGGCAGAACAGTCCCTTGAGACAGCACGATCGGAATGGCAAGTCGGATGCATCTGACTTATCTACATTGAGGTCGAATGTTCGTGAGCAGTCGCTAAGTCG